AGTCCAACTTAAAAAACGCTAATCTAAGAAAAAATCAAGTGAAGGAAGGAGAAATTAAGAGAGAAAAAAAATTAATTACTTTGTTTTTCAGTTGATATAAAATTATTATTTTATCCTGATTGAAGAGTTGTTACAATATCGATTCATATTCGATTATAAGTGAATTATATTCTACAAAATATTGAAAGATATAACTTTAATAATAAATTTATACAAAATATTCCCGAATATAATTTTAATAGTGAATTTATTTTTATTTTCACTTTAATCTTATATATTTTTAAATTTAATTTTTAATATTTTAAATAATGTGTTTATTAACTTTAAAATTTTAAATACATAAATTAATAATTAATTTTTTAAAAAATATATATTTATTTAATGGTAAATTCCTGACTCCGCCGTAGCTAGAGACATTTAAATGTCTCATAGGCCGATCGACTTTGATTCAGTATAATTGACATATTAACAGTTTGTACACAATCTATATAATGGGATGGCCAAGGAATTATTTATTGAGGGACTTCTGCTTGAGCGCCGCGCAAATCCATTACCAGTTCAGTGACAGCATCCACAATGGCTTTACCAGAGGCCCTATATTACCAAACTGTATTACCAGACGAAGTCAGGCTGCATGGGAGAATGAGCATGTCGCTTCCTTGGGTGAGATCATTACAAGTGAGGCACATGCTAGGGTTCGTTTTTGTCATTTATTCAACCGGGTTCTTTTTTTTTTTTTGGGCTTGTTTGGTTTCTGGGAATTGAAAAGAAACATCTAACATTGAAACTCACTATAAAGATTGAATCTTTTCATTTCAACTGTTCTATCAGCTGGTAAAGTTCAAGTTTTATACTGGGTTTTCTTTGTTCTTTCCTCAAGTTTCGAGTTTCAGGTTTGCTCTTGGCTGGTTCGTGTGAGCTTTTGGATTTCTCTTGCTGTTGACTTGGTTGTCTAGATTTTTTCTTGTTTGTTTTTTTTGCTATGTTTGGTTGCTGAGAAAATTGGAAGGGAAGGATGATTTGATTGGTTTCCATTTGGAGATTGATTCAGCTAAAGAAGGTAATTTGATACGCGATCCTTGATTAATTTAGAAGGCTAGGTGAAAGGCTTTGGGGGCACACTAGCCGGAAAAGTAGTCTGTGGCTATTTTAGTATTCAATTTGTGAAATTGATGAATTGTTTGGTTAAAATCTTTAGATTAATGAATGCTGTTTGCTTCGAGGAACATATATTCTTAATTTTGAAGTTTGTCATCATCTTTTATAGAAATTTGTGCATCTATAGATTTGGAATTTGCTATTGATATTCAGATTTGATGCCTCGCCTTTGCTTGTTTTGTAGGTTAGAATTAGCTGGATTTGTTGATGTTGGCATAGTATGACTGAAAGCAATAGCAATGCAAGTGTGAGCTCGACTTCGAGTTTGAATAGCAGCTTTCCGGACATAGAGGATGACCAAACCATTGCAAGCATCTTAGCAGAAGATGAAAGTTCTCAAGTTGCTGGAACGCTTGGGAAGAGACTGTAGCATTTGGACTCCATACCAGTATTTTCCTTTCCACATCTACATTTTCCAGCCCATACTACATGCTTACACATTTATGACATTTCAATTTCACATGCTCGGTGCATTTTTTTGTTTCATTGTATAGTGTATGGAAAGGCCAATTTGTTAAATTATAGTAAATTTTAACCTCCATCAACCTCTTGCACCTACAAAACAGGCTGTTGATATGCAATGCTGTACCAATCTATAGTGCAGTCTTGGGTGTTAGTTATGATGGGTAAAAACTTGTGGTGATGTCACTCCTTAATTTAAGCAAACTAGGGGATAAATCTAGGTACAAATGGCGCAGGAGGGCATTTCCTGTTTGTGTATCTAACTTCCATTTATAAATAAGAAAAATATGCAGCTGATTTCATATCTTTGGCCGTTAAATTACTCCTTGCAGCGAAGCCTAATTAAGTAAACAATAACCCAAATCCAAAAGTTAAGAAGCATGCCTCATCACCCAGTGAACACGCATGTCCCTATCCAATACATCATCCAAAAAATAAAAGATTAAACCAATCAGTCCCTAAAAATACAAGGAACCATTAACAAAAACAATGTGAATTATGTGGCTGCATGAGCCAGCTATGCAACCTGTAGTTCCTTGCTGAAAGTAAGGGTTGCCTTGTGCATGTTCTCTTTACCTTCACATTAGCTTGCAACAAGCACGTGTGTTGAGGAACAGAGTAGGAAGTGCTCACTGGATTCTTCAACAACTGCTGTTATTAGACAACATGTCTGGCACTTCCTTCTACGCTTGCGATTGGTTATATATTTATTTTAACCTAGTTTATACTCTATATTGACCAGTGAGTATTAAAGAGGTAAACAAATACACATAATTGTTGTCCTTTTTTGTTTTGTTATTTCCTCCTGCTGTTGAATAACTTCTTGGTGTTTATTAAGCCATATGAATAATCATAGATTTAATGTTTTGCCAGCACACTCCACGGGTGAATGGTGAGATACCTGATGTAAATGATGCAACCTTAGACCATGAGCGGCTGTCTGAAAGGTTGTGATTTTGTTGTCCACCCTTCATACTGTTTCTTATTCATTCTTGGACCACTTGGCGCATTTCACTTTTAGCTAGTATGTAATGTGATGCACCCTTCATACTGCTTCGTATTCATTCTTGGATCACTTGGTGCATTTCACTTTTAGCTATTATGTAATGTGGCGTGCCTATAATTGTTATCCATTTTTAAATGGTTGCCTTTTCTCATTCCAGTAATGAAGTTAGTTTCAGTTGCTAGCATCCTTTTTGTAGGTTCATTTTGAGCATGGCAAGTATTTTTTCCATGTATAGACTTTGATTTGTGCTGTTTAAGTAAAGATTGTAAATGCTGGCTTGATGGCATCTAATGTGCATATTGTTAAAATATTGAATAAATGGTTTTTACCATCTGATTTCAAAAAATTGGTTTCTTTTATATGCAAAGAGTATGGTTTATCTTTTGTTTATCTTAATAATTGGTTTTCTTTCAGGTTGGCAACATATGGTTTAGAAGAACTGCAAATCGAGGGCGATGAGAATTGCCAGGTGTAGTAGCTACAATTACCAATTTCATTTCTTCAAATGAATTGTTTATTCGTAACTGTACTAGCATGGATGTCTGAATGAGTCCCGTAAGTAACTGTGAGAACTCCATTACAGAAGTGCTTATAAAGTATTGGTTTGTATGTATTTGACAGTTTCGAGCATTAGCAGACCAATTGTTCCGCAGTTCAGATTACCACAAACATGTGAGGAAGAAAATAGTCAAGCATTTTGGAAAATGCTACTAATGGCCAACTTCTAATACATCCAAGTGTCTGGTGCTGTGCATGAGTCTGCTATATAGACTACATAGTTTATATATTTTCTATGAAATTGCTTTGTCATGCTACTATTTTCTTATCATTGTTTCATTTATCTTCCTTTTCAGCTAAAGCATTTCAGAAAATCATATGAGGGATATGTCCCCATGAAGTACAGAAGCTATTTGAAGAAGATGAAAAAGTTAGATTTCTATGGTGATGCATGCTAGTTTTTTTCCTGCAAAAAATGGAAACCCTGCTTACAAAAAATTAAGCTGCACTCTAATTCATTTTGTGTGTGAAACCTTCCATGATACTAGGCCAGGGGAGTGGGGGGATCATCTAACTCTACAGGCAGCGGCAGATCAAGTAAGCAGAAATCTAACTCTTTTTGCTCCTTTATTGATTTTTTCTAATTTATTGAATGGATCCATTTCCCTGAAGACTATACATGAAGCCTAATTGTTTTCGTTTTTTGTAACTATTATCTGCTTGTGTTATGCAATGGTTATCCCTTGACCTCTTTTGGGCATGAATTCAGTTTGGAGCCAAAATTTGTTTGGTAACGTCTTTCCGGGACACATGCTATATCGAGATCATGCCCAAAGACAAAAGTCCCACAAGAGGTAGATCTAAATCTTTATACCATATCCCAGAGGTCATCACAACATGTGTATCATGCTTATTGTTAAATGGATTTCTGTGTTAAATTTGATTACTGTAGAGTACATTGAAAGTCCAAATCTTATTTATTATTATTCTACCTTTGCAAGTCTGCGTGCTTTACCTGTCTTGAGAGAAGCTGGATACTTTATTTCCTAATTATCACCTCCTCTGCTTCTCAATGTTGTGGGAATTTTGAAGCTAACCAGGATAAGGGATGGGGAATTGAGAAGAAGAATTTTCCTAACAAAGATGGATCACTATAACCTGTTACATGTTTCAAAGTAGGCTATACTTGATTTTCCTGTTTTGTACTTTTCCTCTCTTCAAAGTAGGCTATCCTACAAAATTCTTTGCGGAAAAAATCTATAATAAATCTGGTCACCGCAGAAACAATTCTTAAGTTATCAAGCAAGTCAAGCTGTCTTTAACAATGAAATCCCCCCCCCCCTCCATTTCGCCGAGCTATCTTTTCATTATTCTCTACTTCCTGATATAATGACTGCTCTTGTTTCCAGAACTTTGGCTGAGCTTTTGGAGCGAAGTTCATTACAATTCATTGTATGCAACTGGAGGTGAGGGACAGACCAATAGTCGGAGCTTGTTTTACCCTCAGCACAGCAATATTTTTTTCAAACTAATAGCTTTAATGGATGCTGTCTATGCCTGCAGATGTCCCCACCAGAGTAGCAAGAAAGAAGCATTGGCTTTTTTAAATGTTTGACATGCCGGCATGAGATCAAGCATTGCCATATCCACTCTTCGTTTGTTCTCTATACATGTACATAATTTCCAAATAAGCAAGCAACTATAGAGTATTTAACTAGCAAATATGTAACTTGATATTGAATTCAACATTATATATTCATAGTTTTTCTTTTAATTCTTATGCTGAGGTCCTTGTTGGAGAATCCCGAGGAAAACTTTAGAGGAAGCTTCTTTTTTTAATCTTAAAAAACCACCCTGGTAAGAGCTCTTGGCACCAAATATACACATATCCGGCATGTATACACTTCCCGATCCTATAATTCGAATGTATGCCTCCGGAGAAGGTACGAATTTTAAAAATTATTCAAGGCCGTTGTCCGTTGTTGGGGCAAGCGGCAATCTCTGCGTTTCAGTAAACAGATTCTCGCCGCTGCCAGTGGATTGCAAGACCGACACAAAAGAGCAACAATGGGGGTTCTGTACAGTTGGTACTGTGCGAACAGAAATGACATTCTCGTTCTTCCATGCAGCTTCAGTTCGTCTGGTTATATAGTCTGGCGATATAGGGACCCTGATAAGGCCATTGTGAATGGTGCCCACTGAAATGGTAATGGATTTGCGCAGCTCTATAACAACAGTCGCCCGACAAATAATTCTTTGGCCAACAGATAATGGAGCAAACCAGCACTGGTATCTTGAAATCATGACTAATTCTGCTCCAATTAAAGGAAACAAATTATTATTGTACTATAATAGTTACGTTACTTTAATATGAATAAATTTTGCTGCGGCCTCTGTTAAACCGTCCTTGTGATGCAAGAATTGTTTTTCTAGTACTAGCCATTATTTTCATGCTGAGGTTAGAAAGACTTTCCAATAATTTTCCAAGTTGGTTTAATATTTCTTTTCTTTGGATTTAGAACTATTTTATCAAATTCTCAGCATTATTTAGAGTTCTTTCCTAGTTTTGTTTAGATTAGCGGTTTTCTTGTTAGTTTATATCAAGTTTTAGATTTATTTAAAAAGTTATAAATTTTTTAGAGAGGCATGCTATCTAATGATAGTAATGATATCATTAATGTTGTCTATATTAATAAGTTAGAAGTTGAATAAAAAAATATATGAAATGTGATCAATAATTTTTTTTTATTTAAGTCATGTTGATCTTTTTTTATTACAAGTTTACTATTATTACAAATATAAATATGTTCAAATATTATATAGATGCAAAGCATATTCATAAAGTATGAGATATAAAATTTATTATTGTAAAAGTCAGTGAAAGAGAAATAAATTATTAATTATTATTTCTTATATAAATTTTAAGATGAAGATATTGAAGTTGATATTTAAAAATATTATACACATGAAGCAAAGAAAATAAAAAGTTGTAAAGTCTTGATTGAACATTTACAAGATCGAAGTAACAATAATTTAAACTCAAGAACAAGTTTTTTTCATTACAGGGAGACTAATGTAAGTATTTTTTTTTCCTAATATATAGCTTTATATTAATAAATATAATTTTTAATTTAACTATTTGATTAAACTGATATTTTATTAGATGATTTCATATGCTTTTTTTCTATAAGATTAAAACTTTGTAGTTATGAGAAAAACCTTCTAATAATATTAAAAAGTTACTGTTTGAGATTTATTATATTTTTCTAGTAGATTTATGGTTTGATTCTTTATTTGTGTAGAACTCTTTTTTTATTTTTTTAGTTTTATTTATGGTTTTTTAATTTGTTTTAGGATTTTTATTATATTTCTTTTATTTTCAGGTTTCCTTGTTGATTTATGTTGAATTTTGAATTTATTGAAGGAGAAACAGACTACATAAAAATAAAAGTATTTAGTAATAAAATTTTTAATTAGAATTTTTATATCAATCCTTTCTCATAGAATTCCTTTGTGTCTGTGTTTGATGTTTTTTTTTTTTTGGTACTTCCACCTATATCACCTTGTGTTTCAGAGCCACGACGACTTGAGATTATTACTCGGTATGCACTGCAATCGCATCTCATCTTATTTATTGTGTGCTGCTAACATATAGATAATCCTTGTAATTAAAAAAAAAGATCCTTGTAATAAAAATAAAGAGAGAGTCTATATTGAATCCTAAACCGTGTTTTGAATCCATAGTCTATATTGGCTTTTACGTATTGATATTAAAAAAACAAAACCAATTATGATTATATATGTGTAGGTTGAACACGTATAGTTTAACTTGACTGGATAACATTACTATCAAATTGTTGTTTGTCTGCAGGATTATATATAATTCGAACAATTTCATTGCTTAAACAAAGAATATACGATGTAATATTTATATTTAGTATGTGATTGAGGTTTTAAATTATACGAAGCAAGTGGACTTTCACTGCTGATAATAATAATAATAATGAAAAAAAATAAAAATAAACCAGCTATGTGATACGTACACGGATACATGAGTAGCGTTTGCACCTGGTTTAATGGCTCTCTGATTACTTTAATCCTTAGCAGTAGTCTTTCTCTCTTCCTCATCTTCTTAAACATAAGCTTCCGCACATTGATATTTTCAGCCCTCTAGCTTATATATGAATGCTGAATCATTGGATATATAAAAAAACATATATGCGAGTGGTTGGGGACCTGCAGCCAGGAGCCCTTATAAAAGCGAGGCAGGTTATGCTCCAAAAAACCACAAGCACTCTAGCTTTCTTCTTAATCTTCTCAATCACAGGCATCCTCACAGGTTATCAGCTAGTTTATTCCCCTTATTTGGAAACTTTCATTTCCATTGAAGGTTAAATTATTTAAGCTCTTCACTTACAATTTATCGTTTGTTTTTTGTTCTTGCTCTTGCTGCACGTACGCACGCAGGCACACTTCACTTTTTCTTCATGCATCTAAGAATATATGACATTTCATAAAACATATGGAATTGCTTGATAATTAGTTTCCCTTAACGAGGCTTGGAAGCAAGTGCGAATTGATTCATGCCTACTTCTGCCGCTATTAATGAAGAACATATGGGATATGAAAGCAGAAAATGATTAAATATGTTAACTGGTGTGGATTAACGTCCACCTAGTACTTCAAGAATTGACACTCTTCATCTATTTTTACAGGTGAGATTTGGAAATTCCCACGATCCATAATGGAAGGAAACATGAAAGTTTGGATTTTGCAGTTGGTGGCACTATGGGTTGTGTTAGTGGCAATTCACGATCACCATGTCGTGGCAAACGATGGTGGCATTAATACACATCCCGGCCCTGTAATTCGACTGCATGCCTCCGTAGAAGGTAGGAAGGCTATCAATGATTCAAGGCCGTTGTCCATCGTCGGGGCAGGCAGTAAACTCTGCGTTTCAGTGAACAGATTCGTGCCCCAGCTAGTGGATTGCAAGGCCGACACAAAAGAGCAAAAATGGGAGTTCTATACAGATGGTACTTTGCGGACAGAGACGGACCTTAGCATGTGCCTCACTTGTAATGACCTAACCCAAGGAAGCGACATTCTCGTTCTCCCATGCAACTTCAGTTCGTCTGATTATATATTTTGGAGATATAGGTCCTCTGATTATGCCATTATTAATACTGCCAGTGCTTCTAAAGACCTGGTAATGGATTTGCGCGAAGGTCAAACAGAAGTCCCTCAACAAATATTTCTTTGGCAATCCAATGGTGGAGACAACCAGATGTGGTATCTAGTACCATGATTAATCCTGCTCAAATTGAAGGCAACAAGTTATTGTTGCCCAATAACAATTACGTTACTTCAATATATATGAATAAAGACGGCTGCGGCCTCTGTTACATCGTACTTGTGTGCAATGCTAAAATATATAAATGAAATGAAGCTTCGCTTTGATAGAGTGGTTCTTTAATTTTTTTTATAATTAGATAGTGTTGAATGAGTAAAAACCGCCTTTGTTTCACTCATGTGCTTCCTTTGGTTGCCTTCAAAAATATTTGGTTTTCTTTATTTTAATCACATGCCACAGGTTAAAAACAAAAAAAACAAAACTAAATCAAGAGTGTTCATTAAATACAGCAATTTATTAAAAACTTATAAAATCTTTAACCTCAAAATAAAAAAAAATTAGCAAGCAAAATGTTAACTTCATAAAAAATAAACAACGAAAATAAAAGCAACCAGAAAAGAAGTAAGAATCATCAATAAAGAAGCAGGAATTATTAACTTGATAGATTATTAACAACAATATTGATGAAAGATTCTTATTTGAGATTTATGAAAATAACAATATTGTTGTTTATGAGCCTGTATATTTTGAAGAGGCGGCGAAGAACAATAAATAGATTGAAGCAATGAAAGAGAAACTTAAAATGATAAAAAAAAAATGATACCTAAGATGGATAAGCTTTTACATAAAAAAATCATAGAAGTCAAATTGATTTATAGAATTAAACAAAATGCAATGGTTCTATAAACAAATACAAAGCCATATTAGTTGTGAAGGGCTATACTCAAGTGTTTAGAGTGGATTTCTCAAAAATATTTGCACTGGTAACATAATTTGATACAATCAGTTTTTTACTTGCATTGTTTACATGAAAGGATTAGAAAGTTTATCAGCTAGTTATAAAATTTGCATTTCTAAATGGATATATGTAGTAGGAGATTTTCATATAACAATCAAAAGGTTTTCAAGTCAAGGGACAAAAGAAGAAGGTCTACTTGTTGAAGAAGGCATTATATGACCTTAGACAAGCTCCTAGAGCATAATATAACTGAATTAATGAGCATATACATAAACTTGGCTTTGTCAAAGCTCTAAGTGGGGCCATATATAAAAGGAATTGATGCAAATTTAATTATTGTAATTCTTTATATTGATGACTTATTTGTAATATGAAGTAGTAAGATTCTCATAGAAGAGTTTAAGGCTGAAATGCTTAATGTATTTGAAATGATAGACCTTGGTTGATGTCTTATTTCCTTGGAATGGAGGTGAAACAAAGCAATGAAATAATCTTCATATGTCAAAAGAAATATGCTAAGAAGATCCTGAAAAAAGTTTCTTATAAAGAACTACAAAAGCAAAAGCACTTCTATAAATTTGAAGAAAATATTTAGTACGAATGATGGAACAAATAAAATAAATAAAGGTCAGTATATAAGTTTAATTAGGTGTTTAATGTATCTTACAACAATAAGATTTGATATTGCATTTGCTATAAATTTTCTTTCACGATTCATGCATTGTGCAAGTGAATCACATCTTCAAGACACAAAAAGAATGATAAGATATATCAATGGTACAATAAACTATAGTATAAAGTTCTCTTATTCTCGTAACTTTATGCTTTATGGCTATTCTAACAATGACATGACAGGATCTGTGGATGACATGAAAAATATTTCGAGCTATTGTTTTAACTTCATATTAGGCATGTTCTCTTGGTGTTTAAGAAAGCAAGATGTGGTCGCTCAAAGCACAACTAAGACCAAATATATAGCAGCTACTGCTATTATAAATCAAGCAATTTAGATAAGAAAAATACTTAGATTTACATATGGATCAACTTGAACTAACACAAATTTATGTTAACAATCAAGCTGCAATTTCTATTACAAATAATCATGTTTTTCATTGCAAGACTAAACACTTTAAAATCAAATTATATTTTTTAAGAGAAGTCTAGGATAAAAAAAAAAAAAAGAAGAAGAAGAAAGAGAAAGAAAAGTTACTCTACTTTATTACAAAACCAATGACCAGATTGCAGATGTTTTGACTAAAATTTTTTTAAAAACAAGTTTTGAAAAACTATACAAGTTAAGTGTTTACAACAATTAAGACAAGAAAGAGTGTTAAAAGAATACCTTAAAAGCTGTAAAAAAAATCAAGAGACTTTCCTGTTACAAAAAATTAGGAGATTTTGTTGTTAAAGGTCTTAACTTGAAGATCAAGGTTTTAGAAATAAATCTGGACATATTTGATTTATTTGTTATATAATTTTTAAATTTTATAATTTTTATTTTAAACTAAAACTCTATCTTTATCTAAGAATTTTATGCAAATCAATAAAATTGTCTTCCTTCTTTTCCTTCATAACGCTATTATTTATGTTCATGTTAAGCAGTGTAAAATAATTAACAAATCTATTGCTGGTGAACCATGTACAGCAGCATCTAATGTTGTGATTGCTATTATAGGAGGCCATAAGAGCTCGCTGGGTATGGCTACTATCTGGCAAGGAGATACCAAATTCTTTAGCATCTTGATACTTGCATGGGGTTTGGTGGCAAATATTGACTGAGTCTAACAAATACCGATGTATGGGAAGTGCTAGTCCAATGGGAATCACTAGCAGAGGAAGAACTGCGTGGGAAGACCCTGCCATGACAAATCTACAGTTTGGATGTCAGACCTTAGGGTTGATGGCCGGGGAAAAAAAATAAAAATCATAACAACTTCGTTTCAATAAAAATTAAAAAATCAATAAAATAATAACCGGGCTTTGCTAATATCACTTGGTCAAACTCCGATCCCCATATATTAGATCACTACACCATGTTAGCTAGGTCGCTTTCATGAGATTATAACAAAAAAAATTTCTAAATTAACACTATTCAAGAGCTCTCTGAAAAATCTCTTTTTTAAACTTATTTTCCAGTATTATTTTGTTTTGGAAAATTGAGAAAAACATTTTTCTGAAAAAATGATTGAAAGGTTTAAAATATAAACATATCTGCTTAACTACGAGAACAGCCTTTTGTATCAACTTAAACAGTTGTAAGGCCCAAATTTCTGTTTAAACAAACAGAAATTCTGCAAATGAAAGAGAAGCAAACAATTCATGGTGAGGAAACATACACTGAAACCCCAACATCAAAAGAATTCTGCCCGTGAAAGATTCCACCACCACTTGAAGCTAATAAGCACAAGACACGCAAGTGAGGTTCTGACTTAGCGGTGAGAAAGGCTTATCCCCTTCTTCTGCACCTGGATTCGAACCTCACCATGCACGCCTGTCACCCCCGCGGTGCCTTGTTCACTGGGCTTGCAGGATGTTCAATGAGCCATGGGGATTAGTCGTGGTACGCGTAAACTGGCTCGAACACCCCACGTAAATTAAAAAAAATAATAAAATAAGCACAAGACACGGAATCAATGATGTGGTAAACTAAGTCTAACAGTTTCTCACAAATGATAGAGAAATTGACTACATTTACTTCAGGACTTCCAGTCCCCTTTATCTGACAGAACATTTCTTGCACCTCCACAACATTCGCAATTTATTACAGAATTTGAATGTCAGTTCTGACTGATACATGCTCCAACAAGTACATCCAGCGTGATGGTCCTGAACATTGGACAACTCTCTTCACTACAACTTCCTTGACTTCCAATGAACAAGACAGATCAAAATAAAAGGGAGTGCTTATCCTGTACAATCTATCCCCTAAGCTTTAGCTTTTGTTTGCCAGGAATTACAACATTGAGCATCAAAATAAAGCTCCTTGGAAGAACATAAAATGAAAAAGGACATCCCAGTCACCATCTCCCATGTATATTTTCCATCATGATACAAATTTATGCATATGACTTTAGGTTTAATGAGATTGGAGTCGTTGATAATCTTTTAAAGGAAAATATTAAACAGATAAAGATGAACCCTTGTAAAACCAGACTCACAATAAAGGTGAATCTCCGCCAGTCCCAAGCTCCAAAGCACATTAGTACCATTTTAGTATCCAAATAAGCGTTGTGCTTGATATACACAGAATGGTCATCCAGTTGCAGTATCTTTAATTCTTTCCTCGCTCAACTCCTCACTGATTCAGAGTTTATGAGGCCACTATTCCCTGGATATGCACTCAGCCCAGTGCTGGTTTTGCGTTGCTGCCCAAAATGTCTTAAGAGCTCCATCTGGCGGTCATTCGTATGAGGAAGGCAAGCTCGTAAAAGCTCAACAGGCATTTCTTGTTTTGTAGCTGCACGCACCTCCAAATCAATACCTTCTGTACTAGGTGGTGTCTTTGCATAGACTGAATGCAGTATGGTGTCATATTTAATCAGGCAGTACTTCGTAAGAAGATCAAAGAATTCATCAAATGATGCCTGCCAAAGAGCAAAATTGGGCATAGCACAGTTGGCAGAAGCCTGAGGACCATGTAATAGTTTACTAGCTCTTTCAAGAAGACATTTCAAAATAACTGTGGCCCCATCCCCAGCAGGACTGCCAAGAGGCCGAAAAGGTGGCTGCTCCGAAGAACAAACTACTGCAACCAGGCAAGCACTCAATGCATGAAGATCCATGCCATATACACATGCAGAAACTGTCTTTGTGAGATTTGTAGTCGTGTCAGCTGCATCTGTATCCGAGGGAATACCACCAAACAAAAATCTCAAGTGACGGAAAATAGCCATGCAGACAACACGGGTGAGTTCGTTGCCAGGGAATAGAAGCTGAAGAAACTTGCAGATAAGCTTTTGACCCTTGGGAAGAGATACTAACCGCAGGAACACAATGTCATCCTTCGAGGCCAGTCCAACAGATTGGCCAGTTTGGCCAAGTGGGTCAACAAGCTGGAGTGATGCTGCCAAGCCTTCAAGCAAGTTCTGCCGCCTACGCCTGAGCTGAGCCCCACCATCCTGGGACTGATTACACTGCAGGAAACGATCAATATCATCTACATCAAGAAGAAGAGATAAGCTATCTTCAATAGTGATTCTAGCTGCAAGCATAGGTT